AAAGATTGGAATGAAGGTAGGCAGAGTTACATTTTGTGTGACATGATTAAAGAAAAATAAATGTAAGGGGTTAGAAAATCAAAGGGATGTTGAATCTATGACAAATGAAAGTCGTTGGTACTTTCCCTTTGGTTATTCTGCCATTTAAGAAATCTGAACTACATCCCTTTGTCATCAGAGTTGACTTATTTTCTCTCAGCTGAAAGACATCAGCATTAGAATAAGCAATTCAAAAGTACAAAAACCCAAAGAGTTGAGTGGGTAGTAAAGAACTTAACAGACATGAAGTAGCCCGAATACTTGGCTGATACTTTTTTCTTTTTCCTTTCTTTCTTTTGTAAAGATTTTCTAAGACCTCCCCAGCTTGGCCCCACTTAGCCCACAGTCAGAAGTAGAAAATGCATCAATTTAGCCATCTAAGAAAGACTTACAAACTAGACCTTAATTTCCACACATTGTGGGGCACACACTAGGATTTCCAGATGGAAAAGTTCTTCTCAATCATAATGCTCCTAATTAGATTTTATTTTCACTTATAAGTCCTAAGGTTTTGCTTAGAATGTAAGAAGAATACTGTGAGAGGCAGTAAAAGACGTTACAATAGAAAGGCAAAATGGGGAAAAGTATATGTAATAGGATCAGAAGTTCATCTAATTAAAAACAACCTTTATCTAAGCCTGACCTTCTGCCTTACAGTGGCCTGAATTTACAACTGTGCTCTAATGATGGATGAGTAAGATGAGTTCCCATAATTATCAGCCATAAGCTTGTTAGCCACGTGTTTACAAACAAACTCTTTGGTCCTATCAGGATCTAGAAGCAAGCTTTGAGTCTGCTGTGCTGGGAAGAGCTGTTACAAACAAGAAGAGAAAGTACTGAAACAAGGTCAGCTGACATGCAATTGTCAGAAAAAGTATGTAGACACTTGCAGAATTTTGCTTAGCAAACTGAGCAGAATGTTGTGACTCTGTAGAAGAATTAATTCAATCTGCCCTTCAATACATATATTGTTATCTTTTACTGTTAAAACATGAACTCTGCAAAATTTACTTCTAGGTTATATTTCTAGTGTTTCCATTTAAAAGATCAGACAAAAAATGGCCAGAGAGGAAGAATTTCCTTTCATTAAACAGCAAGTCATCTTGTCTTTCTCCAAATGCCCATTCATTGGATTGATTCTTTAAAAGACACACCTGTGTAGTTTTGAACATATGCAGATTATATTATTACATGCTTATTTATACTTTGCCTGATTCTATAAAGGATATGTATCAATCAAAACAAAATCAAATGAGTTTGCTCATGAGTTGAATCCTCGGTCTATAGAGGAAAAACCTGAATGTGTCTACTAGACTGCAGCTTTTGAGAAATAATACTTGGGAGCATATTGTTCAGCAAATGGGTCCAGAAGCCTTAAAAGAGAAACAGTCTCAATATTGATTTAAGGGTTATAGTCACCCCATTTCACCTCTTAATTGGGGTGAGGGGTCAGCATCACTGCAGCAGTTTGTTAAGAAGCATTTAGACATCTGGTCTGAAGAAAATGAAACCCTAAGCACCAAATGAGTAAATAATTAATCAGCATCCATAATTATCAGTCCCCAACCTTCCTTCTTCAGCAAAGTTCTTTGGCTTCTGTCAGCCTTCATTCTCTGAGTCAGCTGAGCCCATTCAAAAAGGGATATAAAGGAATCCAAATAGAATGCCCTCTTCCAGTTTGAAGCTACCCATCTTGACTGCATTCAACACAACTTGGTGTGTCTTGCATGGATTCAGAGCATCTTGTAACACTTTTCCAAATCATATTGTACAAGCTGTGTGATGAGTGTGTGGAAAAGCTGCAAACCTATGTTAGCTCCATTGTGCTCTGTCGTTCTTGCTAGATCCTTTCATGTAATTCAACATCACAGCATCATGAGGCTTCTTAGCAGTCCTCTTAATTGCTGCTGGATGGAATTTAAATTCCTAGAAAGCTGTCTTGTATTTTCCTTCTCTGACCATGGAAGCCCCATTCCTGCATTGCCAGGCCACCGTTCTATTCCACAACTCGGTGGAATAAAACACAGGAGGTATATAGTGCTTGTTTATTCAGTCAGGCCATTCCTTATCTTTGTTTGGCTTGGCAGTAAAAAGGCTAAAATGTGTAATGGAAAGACGCCTTTGCAATAACATCCTCCAGCAAATACTTCTAATGTAGCTTCAAATAAGGAGGACACATTCTTCTTACTCTTCATACCATTCTACTAGCACCCAAGGGGTAGTGTTCTATTAAGCCAAGTACTCGGTCCACTTATTAACTTTAACTTTGTAACTGAGAAACAGTTAACTCGTCATAGGATTGCACAATCATCAACACACCAGGTTAAGGACAGGAAGATGAGAATTTCTGTTTGGATAGTGACCCTGAGGAACTTCTGAACACTTCTCCAGACCTGCAATTATTAATTTTTCTCTCTTCCTGACTTATCATAAAGCAAAAGGGAAAAAGACTAGTCTCTCTGTCTCTGTCTTTGTCTGTCTGTCTCTCTGTCTCTGTCTCTCTCAGTCTCTTTCTCCCTCGACTATCCAAAGGGCTTAGTGCTTTCAAGGACCTGAGCTAGGGTTCCTGAAATCAGAGCACATGTCTCCTTTAAAACACCATTGGTCTGTTGCTACCTTCTGATCTGTCCCTCCCCAAAGACACAGAGAAGCATGTGAAGATGAAGAAAGACTTAGTCTTTCTATACTTTTTTTTTTTCTTAACAACAACACTGAAGAGTGTGGACATTGATCCAAGAGGGGCTCTAACAGTAGGGCAAAGGGAAAGAAGACTTCCTGTCAAACGCTACGACTACCTCACTGCAGTCCTGAAAGGTGGGGTTCTCTACAAGAAAAACAACAACTGGGGAAGTTGAGAATCAAGCACAACGCTAAGTGGGTCACCTGGAAAAAAACCACCACCTTCCTCCTTTGCGTTTAATGTCTCAATAACAAATCCTTCTAAGGAGCCCAGGGGAAAATAGTCATACAGAGCACCGGTATCCACACTGGCTCAGTATTTTTTCACAACAATAACAAATTGGCACAGCATGCAGTGAAATGGATGAAGGGTTACCTAGCTCCAGGCACAAAAGAAACCATTCAGGACTCTCAGCTTCTCTATACATCTTTTGATCACATTTATTAGAGAACGACAGAAGCATGAATAAGCAAATTTGCATCCCCCCCCAAAAAAAACTACAGAGTTGAACAGCTCATTTATTTCCAGTCAAAAGTAAAGGGGAGGGTAAAGAAAATAAAAGGGTGATTATAGTCCTAGGCATCCAAAGAGTACAGGCATCCTAGCTATTGTAACATAAACAAATGGATTCAAACAACAGGACTTAGCTAGATTAGAAACTGTTGCTTTGTCGCAAGGTACACTTTATAGAAAAGAGAATGGTAATTTTCCTTTAAAGGGAAAATTACCTTTGCTTTGTTTAAAGCAAAGCTTCAGAGGTATGGCATTAACCATGAAGAAAGCTGTAAAAATAGAAGAAAAATGGACAGATGCCTACTATGTACCAAGGACTACTTCCAGGACCTTTTAACTTCAGGATTAAAGGCTACTGATGTGATATTTTCTGTAAGAACAACTAGATCCTTGTGCTGATGTCTGATCCTTACCAACAGGGGGTTTAAGGTGCTGGCACCAAAGCCCTCCTGAGTCGGGAACTCTGGTGATGCTGTTGGAAGTGGGCCACAGAGGCCTGCAGACATGTAAGCCAGACTCTCACAGACACATCAGAGCTTGGGGATGGAGGCTGTGGGTAGCAGAGAAGGGAGATACGCCACAGCACTGACTTGGGATGACTCTGGAGTTGGAACAAAATAGGCACCGGCCAAGAGTGACAGAAGACATCTCCCACCTCACATTCATCACAAAGGAGTTTTAGCTGGAAATCAGAACCTCTGTAACAACCCACTAGGTGATCTTGCTGGTGTTTTAAACTATGAAACTTTGATTGATCACCAAAGCAGCTGTGAAGCCCCTCAGAAATCTATGTTTGTGTATCTATTACTTATCGTCAGTCTAGTAGAAATGTTTATGTGGGAAACATGCTTTGAAAATCAGGCCCCAAACAACAGCATAACCCAGGGAGGTTGTAAAACGAAAAGTCTCAGAATGTGCTTTTATCATACATCACAAAGTTTCTGCTGTGAGAAATTGAATCCACACCACCCCTCTCCCCCATAGGTACAATGAAGACAAACAACTTTCAAAATGATCACCTTTGTCCTTGCAATGGCCTCAACAATTAGCTCCCATACACTCAGTCACAAATGCCAACAAGAAATGGAACATGATGGCACTGTTTGGAGACCTCGACACACTGAATCATTGGACTGAACCTTAATACCTGGTCAAACATTCGAGAACTAAGCAAGTCCTCTAAGAGTTACAGCACTTCATGATTCATGTGTGAGAATTCTATCAGACGTCTATTGGTTCAGCTCAGAAGTACTATCCTTGAATAACTAAAGCATTCTTAAATGTGAGCAAGTCAGATGTTAGGATTTTTTTTTAAAAAAAAAAATATTGAGTCAGCATTCCAAGTTTCCCTTAACCTTCTATGGAATGCAGGCCAATTGATACTAGACGTCAGAAATCCAGTATATCCTTTCCTAGAGAATTTTCAAAAACAAACAAACAAAAAAGACAAAGCAAATTCCCAATCCTCTCATTTCTGTTACATACTAGGTTGGTTGTCATTTTCTATATTTTTGACTATGAAATATTAGTTATTGTGAATGTCCTCATGCTTTCCTAGTTGGGATGCTTTATATCACCAAGAAAAATTAATTGCATAATCGTTACTTTCTCAAACAGTCTTCTTGGTTTTATACTTATGTTAGTTTTTTTTTTTTCTTTTTTCCTCACTTGATATCTGTATTCTTCCTCAGGACAAACATTCCTCTGCTTCCTGTCATGGGATTTTAGAATTCTGAGTTTTCAGACTGAAGGGGTATTAATTACTTACCATATCCAGGAATGCCTTCTAAAGGGGAAGGTATTCACGTGCATCATGTTCGCAGAACGTCCGTCATTAATATTTTCCTCGTCTCCTATGTTACATGTAGTGATTTTCACAGATGAATCCCAACTCTCTGGCTTGAGCATCGATCATGTACAATTATTGCAACAAGTAATGAATTCTCCCCAAAAATTACCCCCCAAAAAAAACACAAATAGCAAAAACAAAAGCCCTTCCAGGATCTGAAGAAAGAAACATCACAGAGCACTGCAGGTATGAGTCCATCCATGTAGCTTCCACTAGTCAACACACTAAAGTAACCAGTCCAATCGCTAATCCTAAATGGTGGCAAGTATTGTCCCGGTGAAATCCAACTGCCTTGAATATAAATTAACGCATCCTCACAGAAAGGACTATGGAATGTGAACAAAAAGGAGTCAAAAGACAGTTTCTTGTTATCCTTGTTAAAGAAGTGTTAGGAGGGAAATGGAAAACTTCACGCTGCTTTGCCATGCTGTCCTTTAGGGATGAATATTGCTTTTTCTTCTTTCTTAGGCACATATTCATATGTGGTCACTTTAACGCAGTGCTACCGTCTGAGTCTGAGACTGAGACTTCTTGTCCAACAAAGACCTGGGCAGAGGGACTAGAAACCATGTAGAGCGCAAGCCAACTTCTTCCCCAAATCTCAGAATTGCTGGTTTCGAATACTCAAGTAGGAAGGCAATGAGTAATTTCTGCTTTGCAGGACAGGATTAGTGTCGGCTCCCATCATGACTTCAGAAGGCGCTGTCGTGATGAAATTCATCAGCCGCCTAACCCCACAATAAGGCTGTCTGCTCTCTTAAAGTAAAATGACTAAGCTATCGATTGTCTCACTGTAGAATTCCCTATTTCTTATCAAAACCGTGTGTGAGCTTTTTAATATTTTGCCTTGGAAAGAAAATGAATTTCACAGCTGCAAGGCAGAACGTTGTCTAAGAATTTCTTACTCGGCTGGCTTTCTTTTCTCTCTGTTCTCCTTACCCCCAATTCAGTTCCCAGATAGATGTCATTTATTCGGATGCTCTGACATCCGCAAGATTCTCACGCCCAGGCTATACAGACCTTGCATGCTTTTAAAACACAGAGTGGCAACAGGCTCCAGCTGGAGTCCCCCCACACCGAATTTCCGGCAGAACCTTTGGAATCCTCGCAGCCGCCTTGTCTGCCCTGGGCTGTGCCGCCCGCCCGCCCCAGCTCTGAGCAGCTCAGGACACTTGCAAGCTCCGTGGTACTGTACATTAACTCTGCAGCAGCCCGCTCGCTCAGCTGCAGACTGCCGCCTGACAGGGGATGTGCTGGCGTCAAGGGGGCCCTCTAGGTGGGTTCCCAGACACTGCAGAGGCGCGCACTCCTTGCTAGCCTCCAAGCAGGAGCGAGGGAAAGGGGTTAAAACGAAGAGCGTGCCCTGAAGGAGCAGATTTCTTTCAGTAAGTAATTACCAGGCAGGAAAAGCTAAAGAAACCTGTAAATAACCTCATAGGCAAATGGCATGCCGAACAAATAGATATTACTATGGGGGAAGGTTGTTCTGTTTGTTTGTTTAGTTTTTCACCGTGTTCAATGAAAAGAAGGGGAACAAAAGAAGTCCAGAGAGAATGTGCAAATGATAGGGGTTTTGTTTTGTTTATTTTTTTTATTTTTGAACAAAAATATGGGGGTGGGGAAGCCTTCCGTACTAGGTGCTTTGTAACCACTTAACTACAGATTTCCACACTATGATTTTGGACAGGAAATCCTGGGGAAGCTAGTTCTGCAGAAATCAGTTAGACGTCAATTGCATTTGCGCATGTCATAAAGCTGCTTGTTTGATTAGTGGGTGTGTACCTCGGAGGAGAGCTCCCTTTTCCATTTCCTGGAGCCTACCCCCTTTGTTGCAAAAAATTCTGTTCAATAATCCCCTGAAAGCACCCCATCACTGCTGATGCCATTTTAGAGCAAGAATAAAATAGTAAACTCTTGGAATAGTAGGTTGGCACTTGAATGGTGCTTGTCGGAAATTAGAGAATGGGCTTCTCAGGGGTGATATGTACAACATTAATGTAGCACTTTTAACTTGGGTATTTAAGAAGGCCATTATGTAATTGCTTAATATTAAATGGAATACTGGCAACACTTAATATATCATTCTGCTTATCTTTAGATAGGGTTTCCCCCAGTGAGTTCTTGTCCTTGCAGAAAACATTATTGGAGAGAGGAGGATTCACTTCCCATAAATTCTAAAGCAAGTGTAAAAAAAAAAAATAGTTCGAGAACTGCTATGATTTGATCAATTGATGGTCCTAGGGCAAGAATTCATCCTGGGAGGAGGAGGAACTGAGTGGTTTCTTTAAGGCAATGTGAACTTTGCACACAGAAAGATGGCACCGTCTAGCACAAAGGAGGAAAGTCGCCAGCACTTCCTGTGGCACTGGCAATGTCCTCGCAGCACCTTTGTTTTGAAGGGACCAAACCTCGGTCACTTGTGATCCTGCCCAGGACCCTTCTTCAGCTTGAATTGTTCTTAACAAGCTAGGAATGCTTGGAATCAGGCATCACACAGTAATTCGACCAGTATATTGCAGTATATATTTGAACATCCTTATTGAAGCTCCAGATATACTAGTCAGGACCCTGGCTCTCTTCTAAGACTTTCCCGGGATAATCTCACGTAACCCAGCCAACTGTGACCAGCCCTGTGCTGCAGATGAAGAATGGAGCCACTTAGAAGTTAAATGGCTCACAGGAAGACAAACACACTTGAAGCCAGAAGTCTGATCACACAGATTTCAACTTGTGTCTTCATCACAGTAATGATATGGCCTGGCACTAGCTTAATGCTTTCTAAGATTTTTGCCTGGATTATTCTATCTCCACAAAATTAAGTGCTTTACCCCTTTGGTAATGAACTCTAAGGCCCAGTACTTGTCCATCATCACACTTTCAGGGAGAAGAAGCCCTGGAGCCCATTCAGGTTATGGCACCTGTCCTTTTTCCTTTATGGTAGGGACGATGTGACAGACATTAACTATTTCAATACCTACACTAACTTCTTACACCACGTAAGCAAGAAGGCTGCCTAAGAAAGTCGCATAGATAATAACAAAAATGAGGTAGTACTACAGTTTCCACTCTAATAAGCATTTTTCATTCTATGTGTTTTGTTTGCTTTGAGTACATACTATTCCAGTTTATTCATAGGCCCAAATCCCTCAGAATCTCTCCCAGATAGAACACAGTTTAACATCTGATACTGACTAGCAGCAACATAAGCAAAACACTTTATAGACAAAAAACACAGAATGACTCAATCATTAGGTCATTAAATGAATTTTCAAATTCATTTATTTTCATTAATTTTCATTTCATTAAATTCATTTATTTCATTAATTTTCAAATTAAAAATAGACTTTTAGAAGATATTTCAATTGATATTTTTTCCAGTGTGGGGCACTGAAATTGAGGCCTCACAAATGTTAGACATGCATTCTGTCCCTGGGTTATTATATACCTATCTTCCAGCTTACCTTTTTTTCAGGTGAACTTTTCTTGTTTGCTTTTCTATATGTAACTTTTCTAGATGTAACTTATTTACTTTTATATATGTAACTGTATCACAAGCTAGATAGTTAAAATTGAGAAACTATAATAAGCACTAAAAACTCTTGAAGCATGACAAAGAAAAATAAAATTTATCTCACATTCCAGGGAGCTAAAATTACAAATTAATGAATAACCTTAAGTTGGGTGGTTTTGCAGACTCAAGGCAAATATAAGAGAAGGGGTTTATTTCATCTATGGAAACGGTTTTGGATTCTGTATTAGAATCAGAGTTTTAAGAGGCAGGACCACTAAGTTACAAAATGATGGTTCACAAGACAATAATTAATGACTGTGTGACTTTCAGAAAAAAAGCAACAGAATAGTATGGAAGCTTAGAAATGAGTTCTACAAGAAGGATGTTGCGGGACTAAGGTATAACCTCTCTGTTTTGTTGTATTTGAAGACAATTGATGCTTTACAGAACTTCTAATTCCAGGGGAGCCATGGAAGGCTTTATTGCTGAGCTCAGCCTCACAGTGGTGGGTTTCCATTAATAAAGTGTCACTCCTTACTAGCCACTGACTGGTAGACCTTGGTGAGGTCCCTGCCTATGTTTTGACCTCAGTTCAACCAGAAGCAAGACTGATGATGTTCTATGGCTTTTACATTTTCAATCCTGCAGAAATCATAGGATTGGCTGGTCTTTCGAGTCTGGACCAGCATTAAATACTACTTAGGGTAAGGAAAAATACGGCTACTTTGTTATTCAAGTGAGAACTAAAACGTAGAGCAAATCAAATTGTTTTAGTCAACATTTTCATTAAAAAGTGATTTAGGGCTGGGGAGATGGCTTGTGGGTAACACAAATGCTCTGCAAACATGAAGGTCCATAGAACTGACACAGAGAGCTGGTTACAGAGGTGCCTGTAACCCTCGATTTATGGAGGAACAGAGGAAAGAGAACTGCCAGGTTTGCTGGCCACCAGCAGAGTCCCAGGGTCAGTGAGAAACAGTCTCAAGGGATGGAGCTAGACATCAGATGCCCTCCACTGGGTGCATATGGATGTGCATGCACCAACACAAACACCACACAGGCATTTACACACACACACACACACACACACACACACACACACACACACACACACACACAGTAGCTTAGACTTTACTCAGGCTCAAAGCAAGAAGAATTAGCTATCCAGCATCGCCACTTCTTTTCTAATAAAATCCTTTTTGTGAGCAGGAGGCTAACTCCTAAGAGTGACAGGGTTTCAATCCAAATGCTCAGAACCTTGAAATTTTGTAAAGTTGCCTTCGACCTCCTGTGCACCAAAGTGGAGACAAGTGATCTCTTTTGCTCCTTTATTTCAAAGGTTTGTTCTTCACAAAGAGGAATAGAGAGCCAACAATTTCTTCAGAAACTCATATTCTTCCTTTATGTTTGAAGTTTCCATTCTCTTCAAACTCCTGCAATATTCAATGTCCCTTTCAGGTAACAAGAAGGCTAAGTCATACCATCATGCTAATATAATCATAGAACAATAAAGTCCCACCCTGGCCACTGAACCTGGGTGTTTCCTAAACCTTTAGTCATTTGTACTTATCAGAAACAGGAGGTGGGGTGAATTAACTCATTAATTTTACCCACCAAGTTTCGCTTTCAGAAAAACTTTTAATTTTAAATACCAACAGAAATCTTTGTGTCACCAACATATGCTGGAATAATTAATAAGCTAATGTCAGTGTTTTCTTGGATGAAATAAGATACCTTGCCCCCCGTGTTTAGACATGAAATGACAAGTACCTAAAGCATAATCCTTCATTAATTTTATATGAATTTGTAATCATTAGTACAGATGCATTAGGAGTCTGCCACCTCTCAAGGGGCTTGTTAACTTTTGTTCTTTTGTTGTTAAAAGACAGTGTCTTTGCCCTTACTTCATCTATGGTTTATATAAATATATTCACATATAAAATATCTTTACATATTTTAGCACATGGTATCTATGTGCTAATAGCAGAAATATGTTATATTGAAGTAAATCAAAGCTAGATCCATTTGGATGTCTTAACAGATCACAGCAAATTTGCAGAAAAAAGTAGAACTTACATTTTGTCTTGGTGTCTGAAGATGTGACTCCTTAACCTCAGGTTCTTCTTGCTTATATTTTGTATAATTTTCACCAGCTTACTAAATCTCTTTGAGATACTATTTAGTTTTATATATACAGCCATATGTGTGTGTGTACCTGCACACATATATGTAAAATGTGTATGTAAAAATGTATGTGTACATATCTACACTATATATGTATGTCTACAAACTTATAGTTTAATTACTATTTTACTTACTCAAATGAATTATAAGCTACTTTGAGGTACAAAGAATATTTATTGTTATTCACGTATATTTTAATGTATTTATTTTAACATAAATACAGATTCTTCAGTAACACACAATTTACTTCTTTCAATGTTTTGGTGTGCTTATGACACCAAAAACATTATTGGTGGGCTGGAGAGATGGCTCAGTGGTTAAGAACCCTGGCTGCTCTTCCAGAGGACCTGGGTTCAATTCCTAGCACCCACATGGCAGCTCACAACTGTCTGTACTCCTGTTCCAGGGGAACTGATACCTTCATACAAATAGATCTGCAGCAAAACACTAATGTACACAAAATAAAAATA